ATGAAGACCAGGGGTTTAGAGGAGAGGACTGGCAGAGAATCTAAGGAAGAGGCCGGAACCAGAGGGTTTGGTGGAGAGGACTGGCACAGAAGCCAAGGAAGAGGCTGGGACAAGGGATGAAGACCAGGGTTTGGAGGAGAGGACTGGCACAGAAGCCAAGGAAGAGGCCGGGACCGGGGATGAAGACCAGGGTTTGGTGGAGAGGACTGGCAGAGAATCCAAGGAAGAGGCTGGGACAAGGGATGAAGACTAGGGGTTTGGAGGAGAGGACTGGCACAGAAGCCAAGGAAGAGGCCGGGACCAGGGATGAAGACCAGGGGTTTAGAGGAGAGGACTGGCAGAGAATCCAAGGAAGAGGCTGGGACAAGGGATGAAGACTAGGGGTTTGGAGGAGAGGACTGGCACAGAAGCCAAGGAAGAGGCCGGGACCAGGCCCAAGGATGGGACATCTCTCTTACCACTGGCTGACTTTTTCTCTACCCTCGAAATCTGGAGGAAGGTGGCTCATGCGGTTCATGGTCTCCATCAGCTCGCGCAGGTCCGGTTGGATCTGATAGAAGACACACATGTGACTACATTGCAATATACGAGGAATGTCTCTAATGCAGCGTACGCATGAATAGTACGAAGAATACGTATGCTTGATGTCAATATTCCGTCTCTCTGCATGCTTTAGTAGTGATCAATAGTTCACAGCTCCGCCTTTAATTGATGACTCCGCCTCCACCCAAAATTGTGAAGGAACTCACTGCTTTGAACTGCCTCTCTGTTGAAGAAAAGGCAAAGATGTCCTATGAATGGCCGGACGGCACCTCATGAGCGGCCCCAAGTGAGAGACCTCCAATGGGGGTCAAACGTTTCATAAAACCAAAAGCTCACATGCGCCTCGTGCCTCTACACATTTCATCTTTCCTCATATGGGGGGCAGCATTCTAGTGGTGGTCTCCCATCTCACTGATCACCTCGAGTCCCAGACAGATCTCACCATAGGCCTGCGTCACTAAGCCACGCCCCCAATGCGTTTCATCCACAGGACCCTCAGCGGGTTCATGAACTTCAGTAACCTTAATGGGTGTGCTGCTGGTACAAGGACATGGTGGCCTCCTCACACATCTTTGTGTCTCCTGTAGAGGACGGCCGCCTGAGGTCAAAGCAAATGTACCCGTTATACATCTTCATCCAACGTCACCCCCATTTCCTCCTTATAAGGCTCCTCCCCTTAACCCTTTCCACAACCCAGAAGTGCAGATCTTTGGGCTGCGTCTTGTGGTGATACATTATGGTTCTTCTACCGCCATCTTCAGCCTACATACTGCCCGGCCTCACTACCAGGAGGAGGAACGCCTTAGGGTTAGGCGAGTGCCAATGGTGTTCATGAGTAAAGGTGGAGCCGGGAGCCATTGGTCACACTGGACAGTATAGACCACAGAAGGACAGACTGTCCAGTGGAGGTCTTCAGTGATATCACCTTCACCCTAGGGTCTCAGAGATATCTTCCATCACAAGGTCTTCCAGGGGAGGTCTCAGAGATATCTTCCATCACAAGGTCTTCCAGGGGAGGTCTCTGATGATATCTTCCATCACAAGGTCTTCCAGGGAGGTCCCTTGATGATATCTTCCATCACAAGGTCTTCCAGGGGAGGTTCTTGATGATATCTTCCATCACAAGGTCTTCCAGGGGAGGTCCTTGGTGATATCTTCCATCAAAAGGTCTTCCAGGGGAGGTTCTTGATGATATCTTCCATCACAAGGTCTTCCAGGGGAGGTCCTTGGTGATATCTTCCATCACAAGGTCTTCCAGGGAGGTCCCTTGATGATATCTTCCATCACAAGGTTTTCCAGGGAGGTCCCTTAATGATATCTTCCATCACAAGGTCTTCCAGGGGAGGTCCTTGGTGATATCTTCCATCACAAGGTCTTCCAGGGAGGTCCCTTGATGATATCTTCCATCACAAGGTTTTCCAGGGAGGTCCCTTGATGATATCTTCCATCACAAGGTCTTCCAGGGGAGGTCCTTGATGATATCTTCCATCACAAGGTCTTCCAGGGAGGTCCCTTGATGGTATCTTCCATCACAAGGTCTTCCAGGGGAGGTCCTTGGTGATATCTTCCATCACAAGGTCTTCCAGGGGAGGTCCTCAGTGATATCTTCCATCACTAGGTCTTCCAGGGGAGGTTCTTGATGATATCTTCCATCACAAGGTCTTCCAGGGGAGGTCCTTGGTGATATCTTCCATCACAAGGTCTTCCAGGGAGGTCCCTTGATGATATCTTCCATCACAAGGTTTTCCAGGGAGGTCCCTTAATGATATCTTCCATCACAAGGTCTTCCAGGGGAGGTCCTTGGTGATATCTTCCATCACAAGGTCTTCCAGGGGAGGTCCTTAGTGATATCTTCCATCACTAGGTCTTCCAGGGGAGGTCCTTGATGATATCTTCCATCACAAGGTCTTCCAGGGGAGGTCCTTGGTGATATCTTCCATCACAAGGTCTTCCAGGGAGGTCCCTTGATGATATCTTCCATCACAAGGTTTTCCAGGGGAGGTCCTTGATGATATCTTCCATCACAAGGTCTTCCAGGGGAGGTCCTTGGTGATATCTTCCATCACAAGGTCTTCCAGGGGAGTCTATTTGTCCATTTGTGTGATTGGGGAAACAATGGGAATAACTCTGACACTAGATGTAGCGGAGTACATTACCACTCAGGAGACAATCACATGAGTCGCCTCTCTCCCTATTTTTTCCATGAAGGCCCCGGGGGAGGGGAGGGGGGGTCTGTATTGATGTTTTTAGACCCCCAGAGCTGAATATATACTGAGCTGATACCAGGCGGTCCGAGGTCGTTCAGTGGAGGTGCCAGGAGGTCCCAGGTCTTCCCGTAGAGGTGCCAGGCGGTCTGAGGTCTTCCCGTAGAGGTGCCAGGAGGTCCCAGGTCTTCCCGTAGAGGTGCCAGGCGGTCTGAGGTCTTCCCGTAGAGGTGCCAGGCGGTCTGAGGTCTTCCCGTAGAGGTGCCAGGAGGTCCCAGGTCTTTCCGTAGAGGTGCCAGGAGGTCCCAGGTCTTCCCGTAGAGGTGCCAGGCGGTCCCAGGTCTTCCCGTAGAGGTGCCAGGCGGTCTGAGGTCTTCCCGTAGAGGTGCCAGGAGGTCCCAGGTCTTCCCGTAGAGGAGCCAGGCGGTCTGAGGTCTTCCCATAGAGGAGCCAGGCGGTCTGAGGTCTTCCCGTAGAGGTGCCAGGAGGTCCCAGGTCTTCCCGTAGAGGGGCCAGGCGGTCTGAGGTCTTCCCGTAGAGGTGCCAGGCGGTCTGAGGTCTTCCCGTAGAGGTGCCAGGAGGTCTGAGGTCTTTCCGTAGAGGTGCCAGGAGGTCCCAGGTCTTCCCGTAGAGGTGCCAGGCGGTCCCAGGTCTTCCCGTAGAGGTGCCAGGCGGTCTGAGGTCTTCCCGTAGAGGTGCCAGGAGGTCCCAGGTCTTCCCGTAGAGGAGCCAGGCGGTCTGAGGTCTTCCCATAGAGGAGCCAGGCGGTCTGAGGTCTTCCCGTAGAGGTGCCAGGAGGTCCCAGGTCTTCCCGTAGAGGTGACAGGCGGTCTGAGGTCTTCCTGTAGAGGTGCCAGGAGGTCCCATGTCTTCCCATAGAGGAGCCAGGCGGTCTGAGGTCTTCCCGTAGAGGTGCCAGGAGGTCCCAGGTCTTCCCGTAGAGGTGCCAGGCGGTCTGAGGTCTTCCCGTAGAGGAGCCAGGAGGTCCCAGGTCTTCCCGTAGAGGAGCCAGGCGGTCTGAGGTCTTCCCATAGAGGAGCCAGGCGGTCTGAGGTCTTCCCATAGAGGAGCCAGGCGGTCTGAGGTCTTCCCATAGAGGAGCCAGGCGGTCTGAGGTCTTCCCATAGAGGAGCCAGGCGGTCTGAGGTCTTCCCGTAGAGGAGCCAGGAGGTCCCAGGTCTTCCCGTAGAGGTGCCAGGCGGTCTGAGGTCTTCCCGTAGAGGTGCCAGGAGGTCCCAGGTCTTCACGTAGAGGTGCCAGGAGGTCCCAGGTCTTCCCGTAGAGGAGCCAGGCGGTCTGAGGTCTTCCCATAGAGGAGCCAGGCGGTCTGAGGTCTTCCCGTAGAGGTGCCAGGAGGTCCCAGGTCTTCCCGTAGAGGAGCCAGGCGGTCTGAGGTCTTCCCATAGAGGAGCCAGGCGGTCTGAGGTCTTCCCGTAGAGGTGCCAGGAGGTCCCAGGTCTTCCCGTAGAGGAGCCAGGCGGTCTGAGGTCTTCCCGTAGAGGAGCCAGGCGGTCTGAGGTCTTCCCGTAGAGGTGCCAGGAGGTCCCAGGTCTTCCCGTAGAGGTGCCAGGAGGTCCCAGGTCTTCCCGTAGAGGTGCCAGGAGGTCCCAGGTCTTCCCGTAGAGGTGCCAGGAGGTCCCAGGTCTTCCCGTAGAGGTGCCAGGAGGTCCCAGGTCTTCCCGTAGAGGCGCCAGGCGGTCTGAGGTCTTCCCGTAGAGGTGCCAGGAGGTCCCAGGTCTTCCCGTAGAGGTGCCAGGAGGTCCCAGGTCTTCCCGTAGAGGTGCGCGATGATCGATAGCTGAACGTGTAACGTTTGGGCACACAAGTGGTTTCAGGGATGATGATGAACAGATGTATAATGTATGAATGTGCGGTGCGCGGTGTGTGGTGCGCGGTGTGTGGTTTGTGGTGCGCGGTGCGCAGGTCATACCTCATCCATGGCACGGATCTCCAGCCGCAGCTTGTCCATCACCGTAATAAAGAGCTGGAAGATAGAAAATAATTCAACACATGACGATCATCATATCTGCCCCCCTCCTAATACATCCGACCCCTCCCCAATA